GAGAGGAGAGCTTCTTCGCCGTTTATGTACTTTTCTGCCTTGGCCAGTACTTCAGCCATGCTGGCCTGGGAATTTTTTGAAATAGAGAACATCAGGTCTTTAGATTGTACGCCTAAACCAGCTATGAATACAGTAATGACAAATTTCTCGTCTGGGACATCCACTTTTAGTGATTCAGAGTTGAACCTCTGAACATAGGATCTGAGGTTCTCTTGGGGTCCCTGCTTCACATTCAACAGGTGGTAACTCGGCTTTCTGTACGTTTGAACTCCTATGAAGTGAGATACAAAGGATATGGATAGCTCCGTAAATGAGGAAATTGAGGTAGGGGGGAGCCTATTGAACCACGCCAGGGCTGAGCCTTTCAACGTGATGACAAAGGCTCTGCAGCGCACTAGATCCTGGTATCCATGCAACTCCATCTGGTTCTTGTAAGTGTTGAGGTGATCTACGGGATCCTTTGTTCCATCAAAAGCCTCTATCTGCGGTACTCTGAATTTCAAAGGGACGGAAAAATGCAGCACGCTACTGGTGAACGGAGATTCAGTCTGTTGTACCAAGACATCCATCGTAACTGGAACCTTGCCTTTCACGACTTCCTTCATGTAGCTGAGTTCTTGCACGATACCCTGGAAGCACTGCTTCAAGTACCGTTATCTCCTTTTCTGTTGATAGGGGAAAAATTCGTTCCTCTTGCCCCCCGTCATTCTGACTTTGTACTTCTTCGTTGTGTCCATTCCTAAAGGGTATGCAAGATTCTGGCCCCATGGTTTGACTTTTTTCCCCTTCTTCGTTGACTTCCTCGAGGGGGTCGAGGTGTGGTTGCTCCCTAGGTGGTGGGTTATTTTAGCCTTCTTGCGTCTGTCGCGCCTCCTATGGGCATTGTAAGAGCTTTAAGAGTTCTTCGTTTTGTTTCAGCAAGCGTTTATTGACGAGGCGAAGGGCCTCCATCTCGTTATTCATGGGGAGACCCCCCACGGGTGGATTGGTCTCTTAGACGTTCTCAGGTTGCCTGCTATTATTAGCTTCTTGTTGATCTTGCATCCGTGGTGGATTTGTCTGACCTCGACTCATGTTTTGCCATATCTATTATCTTGGAAAGGTCTGGTTTTTTTAGGCCAGGTTTTTGGTCAACCCTTAGGTTTCGAAGGCATCATTTCATTAGAGTTTTCCTTCATTATTTTCACATTTGTCATGATTGGTTATCCCCTAACGAATGGGGTCTATTGGTAGGCCTACTCATTCACTGATGTGAGAGTCGGAATATATCTTATCCTACCATTCCTACGTTCCTCAATTTTTTTTCTTTTAAAGCCTTCTCCTTTCACGGGCTTTTTCTAATTTGCTCGGAAGGTTATCTTTCTGGACTTGGATGTTAACACTCCTTCTTGTTATAAGCTCCTTCTTCTTATAAGCTGATGGCGTATGTTAACGTGGACAAGCAGAAGATTGGAATTATGCTATGCAATCTGGGTCTGAGCTCCTAGGCTCGTGAGGGTCGTGATAAGAGATTATTTGGGAATTAGGGTGACTTACACAGTGAAAGTATAGTGGTTCGCTAGTTTAGGAGTTCAGCTAATCCACTATTTAATGGAGATTTTCGTTCCTCTTGTTTAAATAATGGGGGATGAAATTTACAATCTGCCTTTCATGTAGCTAAGGTTTTTTCTGCCGTTATTGGAGGCATTATACAATATTTATAGAGCTATTCCTTGATATGTGGGATCTCTGCCGAGATCCTAGCCTTTCATCCGTAGATTACTCCTTGATTTTTGGAGAGTATCTTAGTTGGTTGAAGGTTTTGCGCCTTGGATATGGCTCTTGACTACTTATAGGGTTCTAACTAACATCCAGTTGTTCCCTTATCATTTTCGTCATTGTCTCGTTTGGGGGGAGCTCTAGCTCTGATCCTCTGAGCTCTACGTGTCTACGTGTCTCCCTTTTTGAATTCTCTTTGGCTCTTCTTCTTCACTTCCTTGCGATTTCATCTTCCCCAATTTGCTGTCGTTCTTAGGGTTTCACAGAAAATTAATTTCCCTTGAATTAGCTCATGGCTTCAACGAAGTTCGCTCCTCGCCTTCAATTCGAGCTTTGGCCCACTGTTCATCCTCACTTAGGTACGCTTCTTGTCCTTAATTCATCTCCTCGTTCTGGATCCCTCAAGTCTGAGGTGGTTTTTGCATTTTTGGACTTTTTGATTATGTTATTTTAGGAACCAATGTCGATCTCTGTCTCATATCCCCCTCTTCTTAGATCCTTATTCAACTGATAGAGTTTTCTTTATTGGCAGTTGTTGTGTTGCCCCCCAGACTCTTAGAGAGTGTTCTGCAAATATTCCTCTCCTTTATCGTACCTTTAAACTCCCTTTTTCTTGCCCAAGTGGGGAGCTCTGATGCTAGACTTCTGAGCTCCTCGTATCATTCCTGACCTCCTGAGCTGATCTCGTTTCCTGAGCTCGCTCTTATAACTTATTTGAGGTATCATCAATAAGCATCCCAAAAGAGGGAGCTCTACAATGTTTTCAAAGAAATAAATTTAAAAGGTTGACCTGGACAAACTACTGATAATACTTCCTAAGGAGTTATGTAATCCAAGAGTGGACTAGAGTTCATCCTTCTTCAGTTTGCAGTTCATAGTTTTTAGGTGTGACGATTTGTTTGACTTGGTATGATCCTTTCTAATTTGGTCCGAGCTTTCTTGATGAGGTTCTTTCATCGATAGTGTACCATCATTGACTACGTAGTTCCTTTTTCAAGACTAAATCTCCTTCTGTAAAGCTTCTTTTCCTAATCCTTTGGTCATAATATCGAGTTGTCCTATATTGGTAAGCTACTATTCTTTCTAGAGCTTCGTTTCTTTTTTCATGAAGGAAATTGAGATTTAGGAATAGAGACCTATCATTGCTCAAGTCTGACCCGCTTTGTTTTGAGCGATGAAAGTCCAATTTCCACTATAATGATTGTCTATGTTCCAAAAGATAGGTTGAAAAGGGTCTCATTCGTAGTCGTTCAAAATGTTGTTTTGTAAGCCCATAGAACGCTGGGAAGGTGATCTACCCATTGACTCTTTGAGGTTTCCAATCTTGTCTTATGTTTTTTCACTATTGTTCTGATCATCACCTTTGCTTGTTCGTTGGCTTGGGAATGAGCTGGTGAAGAGTAGTAGTTCTTGATGCCCAGCTCTGAGCAAAATCTTATGAAACCATCATTGTTGAATTGTTTGTCGTTCTTTGTAACTATGGCCCTAGAGATCCCAAATCTACAAATAAGACATTTCCAGACAAAGTTCTTCATCTTTTGCTTAGTGATTGTTGCTAGCGGTTAGTGAAGTAATAGATAGCAACTACTACAAATTTGCATTGACCAATTCTTAGGGAGAAAGTCCCACAATATCAATTTTCCATTGCTGGAATGACCTAGGACTGATTGTCCAAAGGGGCTTGTGGCATAGGGACATTGGGTTGATTTTCTTTGTTGTGGCTCATGTTTATGGTCTGGACCATCAAACAATAATGGAGTTTTGGTTTAGAATGATGAAAATCGTTGCCACAAACGGCGCCAAGTTGATGGTGTAAAAATCACGATGCAGTATATGATAAATGTTAATTAAGTGTGATGAGAGATCAAATGGAACAAAGAAAATACAAAGATTAAAGTGTTTGGTCCTGCTAAAGAGCAAGAGTAGTCCACTGTCTAAGGGAGACTCTTGCGCATGGATTGTGTATTATGTGAGGAAGAAGATGATACACAGTACAATTTTCTTAGGGGCATTGCTTTATAAAATAAAATTGTCATAGAACATAAGTTTCTATGTTAAAGGTCAGTCTTAATTGGTGTTGTGGTCTTGGCGGTGTGTTTTTGTCTTGGGTTGTCTTCAAGTCTGCTTAGAGAGATGACTATAACTGCTGACCTGACCTATCCATTTTCTCTGGTATCATGAGTATTAATGTAAAACATGAATAACTTGATTTTAGTACAACAAACTCGTTCAACTTGTATTATATGAAAATATATCATTTTTTTTGTTCTTTTGATATTTGTTATCTTTATTGATGAATTGCCTTCAGTTAGATGATTTTTTATCGGGTGTTGTTAAGACGTGAATCGAGTAGATAATTAATTTATGGGTCATGCTTTGTTCGGCCCGATGTAAGCATTTATGTGTTGGGGGTCTTGTGTCCATTCCCCCTGGTAATTGTTTGTGGGCCCATTTATAAAGCCCTTGTCGTTTGTGAGCAATATTGATGGCAACTTGTAATTCAGGGTAAAATTGTCCTTTAAATTTTTATTTTTTTCCTAATTTATTTTCTGAATCCTTAAACGTACGTGGCTTTCGAAATGAGACATTGATTTTTTCTATAAACTATTATTTAGGCCCAGTGATGGGGGCAGTGGTTTTTTGATTTTTTTTTAAAATTATTATTTCGGCCTGGGGATGGGGGTAGTGGTTTTTATGGAATAATACATAGAAAAAGTGGAAACGGCCTGTTTGGTCCTTTGTTTTATACAAGGGTATTTATATCTTTTAATTGTGGCATCAAGTCATGTCAGAACTAACGTATTTTTAGTCAAAGTTGTGGCGTAGAATGTCCTCAACATTATATAGAAAAAATGTTAAAGATTATCTAATTCAAAATCTTGTGATTAACGTAAATGAAAATATTGAAATCGATTGTGTAATCATATCCTAGTATTATATGGTGAAGTGAATAAATGTAATCTGTCATGCAGAATACATAAATGTGTGCCATGGTGGGTGGCTCATCTCAATCATATGAGACAAATAGATAAGAAATGATATAAAAATATGATATGAGACAAATAGATAAGATATGATATAAAAATATTATATGATATGTAATCGTACCATGGTAATTTTAACCATAGTTGGCCAACTACTCCCTCTAAGGAGAGAGAGAGAATCTGACTACCTCACTCGCTCACTCACAACTCATCTATATAAACACCGTAGGGACAAGCATTTGCTACCACCATTTGCCTCCATTAAATTTCTGCTTCTGCATTATTGTTTGAAAACAGTTTGGTTTAAAAATGGGAAAATTGGTTGCTCAGACTGAGATCAAGTCTGATGGAGATGTGTTCCATGAGATTTTTAGGCACAGACCACATCACATAAAAAATATGAGTCCCGGAAACATTCAGGGTTGTGATATACATGAAGGTGAATGGGGAACTGTGGGCTCTGTCATCTTCTGGAACTACACCCATGGTAAGAGATATTTTAGTTTATTTTTGAGTAAATATTATGATGTATGTTTTTTGAAACAAGTGAAAACAGTTGTTACTAATGGTCTACTGATCATTTCTGCCTTCATGAGTCAAGCAAGGTCGAGTAGTGTTTTGAAATCCCAGGTGTAAGTTAGGACTTTCTAATCAAGAGGAGTGTTAGTTACGGTTTGGTACCGTTCTTGCACATCAAGAGGAGTGTTAGTTATGTTTGTTTCTTAGTTTTTATTTATTAAATCATTCAATTTAAAATCAATAATTCAGATGATTTTTTCTCTACGAAATCACAGAGGTACTGTAGCCTTACCCTCCTAATTAGATTATCCAATTTTACAATAGCCTTAACCTCTAATCAGACTAGACATTCCAAAAATTTAGATCCATCGGAACATGTTATGGGTTTTTGTGCAGTCATCTGATCTATCTCTTGTAGTTAGAGATCAAAAAATTCATACATATAATTCATGTTGCTCAAATGGAAAAGCTTTGAGGGTTATTTCTTTGAGGTCTAAAAATTAATTCTCAAAAAAAACATGATTTATTTGATGCATATAGTTTACGGATAATAACGGTTTGGTACCACAAGTTAAATAAAAGGACTCTGTAGGCGATTATACATGTTTGTTTTACAAAATTATATATATGACAAACAAATATATTATTTTTGTTCTTAGCACCATAGTTTTTATTCTTGTGGATTAACAAGGCTAACAAGCACATTAATAATCCAAGAAATCTCTCTTCAAGATGATTCATATTGTTAAAAAAGTAAGCGGTTTAAGAGGACATGAATTGTGATTTCATCTTCGAATTTGTGTACAAGAATTTTAATCGTAAACTCCAAGGGTAGCGATAACAGGGACGAGTTGTAAACTCATACGTCCTGAATTCAAATCTTTGTAATCTCTTAGAGCCAGACCATGAGAAATAAATTATTCATGAATATCATAATCCCGACGTTGATGACCTGTTTTTAACCAAATCGGAAAGTGAATTAGTTGAAGGGCGTATAAACTGGTTCAAACACTCTGACATTTTAATCTTAAGCTAGGTTTCTATTTTCTAGGACAGAAATCCAAATTCCTCTTCATGCATTTTCTAATGCCGTAAACCCTTTCACACAAATATGTCCCTTCCCATGTTTTTCCATGTTTATTGAGGGGTCTATTGGATGCATGCAATATTCAACATATATACTCAAACTATCACATTGTTTTCTTGTATTTTCCGAGGGCAGTAGCATTATAATTTAATTATGCCTTGAATAATGTTATTGAGACCTATTTTGTTGATCTAATTCGTTGACCTAATTTATTGACAATAGATTAAATTAATAAGTTATGTTTGAATGACAATATTTCTATACTGGTGTGTCACCACAGACGGAAAAGAGAAGGTTGCAAAAGAGATAATTGAAGCCATTGACGAAGAAAAAAAGTCGGTGACATTCAAGGTAATTGAAGGGGATCTCACGAAGTTGTACAAAACCTTCATTATAACTGTTCATGTTGATACAAAGGGTCAAAATAATTTGGTGACATGGACTTTGGAGTTTGAGAAGTTGAATGAGGGTGTGGAAGACCCAAATACTTTGATGGACTTCTGTCTCGCTGTCACCAAAGACATTGAAGCCCACCATCTCAAGTAATAGATATAAAGATGATATATGTGGGTTATTGGTGAGATATAACAAGTTCTTGTGTGATATAAGAACGTGTGGAAGTGTGAAGGTTGCTATTTCTACTATGAATAAGATGTATCTGTCAAGGACATATGTGCTTGCTGAAGGTTGTGTTTTTTTTTTTTTTTATTTGGGATGCTTTATTTATATTTCTATGCATAATAGAATAGTAAATCTTGTTTATATTGGTTTTATATTGGTCTCTCTCTCTCTCTCACCCTGTCTCTCTCTCCCTCACTCACACACACACACACACACACAAATATAAGGGACCAAATAATCATGGATGCTTGCTTATAGAAGGAATCAAAATCAATTGATTTTTTTTTGTTCAAGTTTAACTCAAGTATTAAAATCTCAATTAAAATCTTTTTTTTTGAGTTGAGTTTTTCTTAAATTTGAGTTGACGCCACCAAGTTCATTCTTGTCCGTCCAATCCTACATTTAGATACTATTCTTGTTAAAATGTGGGCCCCATTCAAGCATGAGCCAACCCAACCGGCCAACTTACATTATTTTGACAATAATTTACCATATAATATCCTTCGCCAAAAAGCAATCCAAGCCTATGAAATCATTGTTTTGGGCACTACTGTAATTTCAAAAATTATTCTTGCAAACAACTGTACTACAATATTCTGTGGATAATAATTTTTAAACTCAATAAACAAGTGGAATAATTGATGGGATGGAAAAGGATAATATCAACGAGCATCGAGGACTTTCTTTAGAGATGCTATTGAGGCACATATCACGACACAGTATAATAAAGGCCAAATTTGACGACAGAGAGACTATTTGACTGCCTCACTCAGTCACAACTCAGCTGTATAAACACTATAGGGAGAAGCATTTGCTACCACCACCTGCCTCCATTAAATTTTTGCTTCTGCATTATTGTTTGAAAACAGTTTGGTTTAGAAATGAGAATATTGGTTGCTCAGACTGAGATCAAGTCTAATGGAGATGTATTCCATGAGATCTTTAGGTATAGACCCCACCACATAACCAATATTAGCCCCGGGAACATTCAGGGTGTTGATATAGTCCAGCACTTCAGAATGAGACTCGGAGGGAACCGTTTAATGTGCTCATACTTTAGTACTGTTATGATGTGGTAGCATGGAATACCAACAGATTCTATTTTCAAGTAGTTGCAATGCATACTATAATTTTGAGGAGAACATATGACATTCCATGTTGATTTTGGTTGCGTGTAGTGAGACAAGTAATAACTCCAATGGATCCCGTTGTCAATTTTTTGGGCTACAAAAAACATGGATTCGGACTTCAACTTATTGCGCACTTTGAAGAACAACTTCCTTGTATATATGGATGCTACATGCTCTTCAAGACACCGCAATTGTGTGGTTGTCACCGGTGATGTGTGTTGGGTATCATGGTCATCATTTACTTCATTCTCCCTGATCCTTTCCAAAGGCCGGTTGTATTGCCTCACAAACTCAAAGAGTCGGAGACGGGTCTTCAGAAAACGATTGAAATATGAGTTCATACCCTCACATCATTGTGTACTTTTTATGCCCGCAAAGAATTTACCTCTTAAGTATGCTTCAGCCCACTTTGACCGTTTGGAATAAACTTCTGAAATCCAATTATTATTCTCCAATCCAAATGAATCCACCGACGCTTTCCATCGATCCTCAAACTCTTTTAGACTAAAGCGACCACACATACAATGTTTAAATTGTTGAACAAAATTTTTAGTATTAATATTTGACAACGCATTTCTTGTCAAATGCCACCTGCATAAGCTGTGTGTTGCATTGGGAAAAACTTGCTCTATTGCTCCTTCCATGGCCTTATCACCATTGGTGACAATTGAAATAGGCGTCTTACCCTCCATTGCATGAAGAAAAGTATGCAATACCCACATGTATGTCACAACAGTCTCATCTGAGAGCAAGACGCACCCAAAAAATTGATGTTGTGTTATGGTTGTTCACACCTGCAAGTAAAACAAAAGGTTTCTTATATGCATTAGTTCGATATGTGGTATCAAATACCAAGACATCGCTGAAACATGCATAGTCAAGTCGTGAGGATGAGTCTGCCCAGAACAAACAATTTAGGGAATTATCTTCATGGACACTATAGTTGAAATAGAACATAGGGTCTGATTTTTTTTTCCCACTAAAGTAGTTTAACGCCCCCTCCGCATCATCGTCTTGAAGTTGTGATCGACGTTCTGTCGCAACATCATTGTACAAATCTTTCGTGGTAAACCCAACATTATGATAATCTCTTAATTATTGCACCAAAAAATCCCTTACTTGACTTGTATGTATGCCAACATTACGCAATGCATTTGTTTGTTATCTATCGGGACTCTTTACAGCCGATGCGATCGCAGGAATGGCACACCACGTGGTGTAACCAATTGGTGATTATGTTCTTGGATGAATTCCTTTACAACCCAGTGTTCAGACCCATTGTCAAACTTGACACGAAAAGATGCATTACATCCCACCCTTGTAAGCCTCTTGGTTCCTGGATGCGGTCACTACGGTCAAGGTGTTTGGGTGATCGATAACCTTCCCTTGAACAAACCCACCGTCTTGATACAAGAATTTTATTTTTGTTACACTTCAAGTTATCCTTCCGAACACTAAATCCCAAAAATTTTGCGTAATTGTTATAAAACTCCCCAGCTACTTCATGTATGGTGAACATCATTTGCATTACCTCACCCACTATCAACCATCGACTCTATTTTCCTCGACACCATGATCAGAAATTGTTTGATCATCTGTTATGACAACATTAAGATCTAGTAGTACACATTTACCTTTGTCACCGATCGTACCCGCCATTACTCCAACTATGGAATTAAAAAAAAGGTGGAGTTAAAAAATATTTGCTAAATTTTGACACAAATTTTATTGGATAATGCAGAATACCTGTTCATTGAGTCAATATACTATTGCATATGTTATCTACAATATAGTACTTCTATAATTTATTAATAAACAAACTATTGCATATATACCACAATGAAATAGTACGCACATTATTACAAAAGGTTTGATACTTGAATTAAATGATGAATAGTTGTAGGGAGATCAATTGAATCCAATATGCCTCTTTCCTACACTTGTAGTGTTTTAAAGAACATGGGTAAGTTGACTTTTTTAGGAATTTTTTGGATGTAGTTGAAAGAAAATGATAAATATATTATTTGGTAGTTGGGATTTTTACTTCTTCGTTAAATGAAGTAATTTAATAGCAATTAAGATGTATCAGTTGGGTTGGTCGGGTCATAAAATTAGGATCCTCCATAACCAATTGTTGATTACACGGGTTGGACGCACATCGGGTTAACACATGCGGGTTCATAATTAATCTTGACTTGTTCTTGTTATTCGACTCCATTAAAACGAATCTCCCGCCCACCCACTCCCACTGCAAATTTCCAATTTAAAGCAGATTCCCCCTCTTTCTGTATTTTTCTCTGTCTCTCTATTAACCTTTCTCTCTCTCTACACCACAGCCCCCTCCCAGGTCTCTCTCCCCCACTACCATGCAACCCACTCCGGCAACGGTGATCTGCCATCACCACAGCCCACACCACTATCACAACCACCACTACTTCATCCTCTCCCCCACCACCGCGCCAACCCACTACGGAGACTCACTGACAGACCCACTTCAAAAATGGCAGGACTCTTTTACAAGTATATCTCTCTCGCTCTCTCTCTCCACAATTTGCCATCACCACAGCCCCACACCAATATCACAGCCATCAACCCCCCTCCCCCCCCCCCCCCACCAACACGCAAACCCCACCCTTTAGGACAAACTATCAATTGGAACTAACCCAGAATTGTAAATGTTGATGTCGACCAGGGCTTCTTAGGCATTTTAGGTGTGTTACAGTGGGTTCTCAAATAAGTTTCCAACTAGCTGTTTTAAAAAAATTTGTTGCAAACTAGTTGTTTTCAAATTTCGTCTATAATTAAATTTTTAAAAATTCTCTTCAATGTACAAAATCACATTATCCATGAAAAAATTATTATTCATTTATATTATGAAAACTAGTTGAAATCATCATTGATTTTATTGATTTACTCAATCAAAAAAACTAAAACATTGATTTTTTTTTTTGGGGAGACTAACTTGCCAAAAATTAAAAATAAGTTACAAAAAAAATTAAAAATAAATTAAGACCGTTGTAAATATTTTCAAAAATTAAGGAGAATAAATATATTAAAATAATCAAATTATGATCCATTAATAATATATAAATAAAAAGATTAAAAAACTCGCCCGGCCCCCGCCCGGGAGCGTGAGAGCCTACTTTCCTCCCCAGATCGACTAGGCAGTATGCCCCAGATCTTTTGACTTGCATGAAATTTATTCATGTAAATTAACATCATAATATGTCACTTCAACAGAACCTTAGCATTAATCATTGGCGTGCTGTCGGTACCATTCCATAAAAATGTGTGACTATCAATTTTTGTTATTAAATATTACTTACTAAAGGTCATAATTTAACCTACAAAAATTGTATTTTTTTTTCTTTTCTAAAGATTATAATTTTATCTATAATAATAAAAATTTGTCTCTAAATGTAAAAATATTACCTGAAAGGGTTGTAAAGTCACCTCAAGAGATTGTAATCTCACCTCACATCTAGTGATGATATGTTCACTATTTGTAACATAACCTTAAATAATAATAATTTCACATCCAAAAATAATATTTTTATCATAAATGGTTATAATCTCACGTCAAAAAGTTGTAATCGAACCTCTAAAGTTGATAATTTTACCTATATAGAATGTAATTTAACCTCAAGTGATATAATCTCACTTTCAATTTAAAGGTGATAATTTTACTTTTACAGGTTGTAATTTAACCTCAAATAGTTATACCCTCACCTCTAAAGGTAGCAGTTTTACCTTAATGCTCCGTTTGGTACGATGAAAAAATGGGAGTAGAATGAGAAATTAAAAGGATGAAAAGTTGAAGGGATAAATAAAATATCATGTTTAGTAAGGAATGAAATAGGAAGAATGAAAGAGTGGATAAATTAATTTTCCTTCCAAATCGTCAAAATCAATCTCTCCAAAATGGGAAGGAAAATGGATGAAAAATTAATTATTTG